CATTGTCAAGAACTACAAGTAGTGAAAAGGTCAAAGTCTTTTTGCCCGACTTGGTATCTCAAGGGGACAAATTGTGCAAAAATGTTGTTTATTCTGAGATTTTTCATATTTAAGTTTTCCTATTGTATTTTTTATTATCTCTGATATTTCTACCTAATTATTTGATCATTCTCTTTTATATTCTGTTTACTTTTGTCCCCTATCTCTCTTACTGTTCTTATTGAATTGGTCTCTATTTTTCCCTCTATATATTCTTCTTTCTCTTCTACTTTGAATATTTCTTAATACTATGATCTTTCATAATTATTGTTTTTGTTTTCAATATATATTTCTACTATCTACGGTTAAATTACTATTTATCAAACATGGCAATTGCTTAACACTGCACTCCATTTCAGCTCCGTGTGGTACCACACGGGTGACTACTCGTGCCCCATAATACTAGTACCGTACTCGAGTATTATGCTGCCCCATCCAAGCACGGAAACGCCCAATATGATATCAGTACTAGTACTTAGGGTGTGTGCAAAAGTCTGTCGAACTTTCTATTAATAGATACAATTTGTATGAGTATGAACCGTTGCCAAAGCACATAATTGGTGGATTTCCTCGTAATTTGGTGAAGGAAAAAAGTCTGTCGAACTCTTGGCGCAAGGGCTGGAGCAAATACTGTTCACTGAGTGGCCGAGAAGGCCTGGAGCCAATAAAAGGAAGTTCGACAGACTTACACTTCACCCCCGGTGCAAATATCCCCCGATATTCGATATAATGAAAATTGGGAGGGGGGGAATAAAAACCGTACTCGTGGATGGATGGACTGGCAAAAAGAGGGAAAGGAACCCCGCATCATAATTACTGTACGAGTGAGCATGCACGTATCCAAGAACAACAACAGCAATCGCCAGCTGAACAGGGTCAGAAAGAATGACCAACCCACAACGGCAATTCCGGCCAGCGCGCACTGCCGTAGCCTGCTCGACGGAATCTATATCTACTGTGTACGAGTAGATACAGTAAGCACTCCCCCCCCCCCCCTTTTCTTCCCCGCGGGTTGCTTGCTGTGTCTGAGCATCGCGGCCCGGTGTTTGATATACTCGAGGAAACTACGGTAAGTATGATACCGTTGCTGGAACTGTTTGTTCGCATGTTTGTTATGTATGTATTGGAACTGTGAGTGGAGTGGCAACGTGCGGTGGTGTGTACGAACTGTACGGGTACTCGTACGGTAGGAGGGGGAGCTACACTGCTCTACTAGATATCACATAAGTCTAACTTATTGGTGGATTATATGATGTGGTGTCGAGGGTGTTTTTAATTTTGGTACGGGTACCGGTACCATATGTGTTTGTCATACGCTACGAGATCTGGGGATTCCGTGTGATGATGCTGATGAGCCCCACACAATCGACAAAAACAACACGAGCCGTATCATACTTGAGGAGAATGCTGGGTGGAGGAGTTAGCCCCATACTGCATTGCGGATATTGTTGTATTCACTCGACCGCATTGCCCCATTTCCAAATCGCCGAAGTTATGGTCAAGTACCGGTGCTGTACAAGTACTATGCGGTGAATTACCGGTATGCCTCCGCTTCCGGAGAGGAGCTTTGACTCCGGGCTGCCATTGCAGACCAGGGAATGGGTGGGAGGAAGGAATACTTGTAGGGACGAGAAAGAAAAAAAGAAAGTTTAGACTGCTCTGAAACGGATTTGAACCGTTGATCTCGTCATTACTAGTGACGCGCCTTACCAACTTGGCCATCAGAGCTGATATGATATTCAGCTGTCTTTGAATCTATAATCTTAATTCGAAGAGAACCATGTCAAGGATACCGTATCAGAAGGATTAAAGCGCACTCCGAGCCCCACCCCAGCAGAAGCAGATCATACAAAGGCTTACTAACCCCCACCAGCACCCCTGTCTGGTACGAGTACTAGCCCGGGAGGACCTCCCCCCCTACCGTTTCCCTCCAAAACAGGGCGGAAAAACCTGACCAATTGTCTACGATCCTCTACGCCGCGGCACCCTAGTCCATTGGTGCCGACCTTGCTTGCGTGCACTTCGGTGTTCTTCCATTGCCACTGGTTGACTGGGGTGGTATTGTGTAGCCTTCGGTATTGGCATGCATGCTTCTGGAAAGCGGGGAGCGCAAGATAGGCAAGGGGGGATGTTGGGGGTTTCGAGTGAGGGGTTGTGATGGGTATTTTGGGGTTCTGGTGAATAGCGTACCGTAGTGCGACTATATGAAGGGGACCGGGTGCCGTAGCCTGGGCGCATCCTGTGTGTTCGTCACAGCTGGATTAACGCCGCGGAGGTCTATGTATCTTTACCACCCATAAAATTCCCTCGGAGAATGGAACCCATTTCATATTTTGAACTAGCTCGGATTACTATTTCCCCAGAGCTGCGTATACAACCCGTTGTTCCGCGTGTTTATTAATGCCGTGATGGCGGGCAGAGAATTATACCCAAAGACATCTCCTGGGTGGCCCAAAAGGGATCAGGTAGGGTAGTATATCACACGAAGATGTGAGTTGCCGTACGGTAAATAAACTAGGTTCGCTATCTTCCCTATCGGAAGTTGAGCGGTGAAAACGTGAATTGCGGGAGTGGATACCTTGTGTTTATCCTTTTAATTATCTATACCCTGAACATTTCCTTGTTGAGAGTAGAAAAGGTGCAATACAATCACTCTAGCTACAGCAAGGAGGGGTTGATAATGGTAGACACACAACAGAGATATTTATATCGCCGGAGAAAGCTATACCTATCATACTAGAAGTAGGGAGACAAGAGGTAGACGAGTGCATGAGCATTGAAGTTCAAATAGCAGCTAAATTATTAGGCTGAGGAGAAAATTGCACCATACCCCCCCCTTCTGGCCCTCATCACTCGGGTCATAAGCTATTTCAATACCGCTCCCTTCAGGCCGATTGCTTCCATAGTACTCACCACCGGAAAGTTTCCTGTTCAAGCCTAGTCGTTCAAGTGACGAAATACCCGAATGGCTCCAAGTTCATTAACCGCCTGCAGGGGTTTGTAGTGAGACTGGGTCACGAGAAAGAGGTCCTGTTTCACAGGTGGGCCCTGGGCGCCGTGCGGGCACCACGGACGGGCGTCCCCATCATCTCTTTATCCAGTTGCCCTCTCACCACGAGAGAGAACATCTATAGCCGGATGCGATGGCAGTGACTTCCGAGACCGTCATCTCGAAGAGAGATGGATCATATAACCCCCCCGTCCCCTAGAGATTTAATTTCGAGAAGGACCAACCTCTCTCCGGGTATTGAATGGGCAGTCGGCCTATATTTCGCGTTTCCCATCCGTTCCCGACTTGCTCGAGGTAGAATTGGTGTCCACTGGCGTTCAAGTCTATCGTAGCGGAATGATCCTTCGATTCCTTAGCCCGGAGGAGCAGTGCTCGCTAAGTGTAAAATGACTAATGCTACTCAGAGTCTCGTGTACCAGTAGATTTACTATATTTTACGCGTCCAAGTACTGTATCGTACAATCCAGCATCGGGATGGTCAAAAGGAGTCACGGTATATCACTCGTTTTATATTGTGACAGGCTAATTACGCAGCAACACGTTACCAGCAGATGATGAGATCACCATGCCCACATCAACGAAGCAATATGCGAGCTATCATAGTGGTTTTACGTTGCCGGCGTAAAGCGGGGATCCAAATGCAGAAATCCGGTTTGATACACACTACAAACTGCATTCCCCCTCACCTCTAATCTGTATGGTGGTTGGCTTCCGTTGCGCCTCGGGAAGGGAGGGGGTGCGAGCTGCGGGCCCGGTGCCACACCGGCACTGGATAAGACATATCACTACTAGGGGTTTTCAATGTTAAAAACGTAAATTAGAAAAAACTTCGCTTAACTTTACTTTGTTGTTTCGTGTAAGCTTGGTGTGTCTAGAAACACTTGGTGTGCCTAGAAACAGTTAATTTTACCATTATCATACTTTACTAGACAAGGCATTTTTTTTCCAGTTGATAAAAAAAAAAATTTGAGGAATGCTTATTCGCATTCTGTGGCAAAATCTCTTAACGTTAACTTTTTTGTTACTGAAACAGGGTTTATGTGATATCTGTAAGTTGAATTTCAACCACAACACCTTTTCCCTTGGTTCCCTCTGTACATTTAAATATACTATCTACCCAAAACATCAGGCATGATTGGCTAACATCATAAAGTGACCTAATGCAACTTCTCAGTATTTACTTGTTACTGAGAAACCTTTTTTTCTTGACTTTGAAAACCCCTATATCTCAGCCCGGATACCGGTATTCTTCGTTATAATGCCGGAAGTTATCTTTCGCATCGAGTGATTCTCACTCTGTCCCATTATGGTGAAGCGCTTGGCGATGGACTCCGCTCGGGGGTCATGGGCGGTTATTCGTGGGGTCGCTGGGTCAGCGGCAAGACGCATACTGGCAACTTGATGTGCTCAAGTAGTGATGGCGGGGGGAGGATATGCGACTGGATCGAGTGCTTGACAGTGGCCGTCGATTTGGGGAGCTAGGGGATAGTCTACTCGAGTACGCTGGCATGCCACTTCTCGTTTCAGGGCTTGTTGTACAGCCGTATTTCGCAGCAGACTGAAGGAGCCATACTGGCTGATACGTGGTGTTTCGTGAACCAAAAGGGCTCTCAGAGCCGCAATCGTGAGGGGTCATGGACCACGTCTCTTTGACAGTTGGTGTGGTGGTGTCACCAATACTCGAGTACCCAGGTCGTAGGTCATGTGTGTGACGCAAGGGTGACTAAGCCTCCCTGAAAAGCTGTGGCTTAGTCACGCACCACGGGATTCAAAGACCAGATTTCTGGTTAACATTCAAGTTTCTGTCTCCTGGTGTCGTTTTCTACCAACACGACATAAATTACTCCCCCCCTTTCACTCTTACCTCTGCCTCTGTCAAGCCTTTTATACACTTTTAATCTAGCGAGCGGACTTTAATACTTCACCACCTCGAAAAAACACTATACAAATAATGTCCGTCGACGCAGGTGGTGGCCATAACCGATCCGGCAGCATGGGGCGGAACGGAACTCGTGCGAGAGATGATTCGAACAGCTATTCAAGCGGCATTCAAGTGATCGACGAGAATAAGGAATTTACGTACGTTATCCGAGAATGTTAATTGTTTTGTTCGTTGCGTGGACTGCCCCTTTAATGCCCACTGTGCTATCTCCGGGAGAGCACAATTCTATCTAACCTTCAAACAGACCATACCTTCCAGCATACTTGACGGCACAAAATTTGATCACCGCCGGTTTCTCATATCATGTCGTCGCTGTCTTCGGCTCTCAGTCCACCGGTAAATCGACTCTTCTCAACCATCTGTTTGGAACACGTTTCTCGGTAATGGACGAGCAGGCCCGCAGACAGACCACCAAGGGAATATGGATGTCTAGAGCTATCGAAGATACTAAGAAGTCCGATCCGCGTGAAATGGGAAATAATATCCTGGTCATGGATGTTGAGGGTACCGACGGTAGAGAGAGAGGGGAGGATCAGGACTTTGAGAGGAAGAGCGCATTGTTCGCATTAGCGACAAGTGAAGTTTTGGTGAGCTTTTGTTCCCTTTCAATGTGGGGATTAGCCGAGGTGTCGTTGCAAAGCTTCACTATTTTGGGAGCTTGTGGAGAGGATTTAATTTCTATTTGCTGATACTGAATCTCTTAGATCGTTAATATCTGGGAACATCAAGTTGGTTTGTACCAGGGCGCCAACATGGGTTTACTCAAAACTGTTTTTGAAGTCAATCTTGGTTTATTCTTGAAGGATAGAAGGTTTGTAAATCCTCTAATGTATTTTCCAAGGCCGCGCTGACACTATCTCCCAGTACAACTCATCGATCGCTCCTGTTCTTCGTAATCCGTGACCATGTTGGACATACCCCACTTCAAAACCTCTCGAATACACTCATGCAGGATTTGTACCGGATTTGGTCCTCTTTATCAAAGCCGCCTGGCTTAGAAGACTCGAAAATCAGTGATTTTTTCGACTTTGAATTTGTCGCCCTACCCCACAAGATCCTTCAACCGGAGAGGTTTGTTGAGGAGACCCAAAAGCTACGGAAGCGGTTCCGTGAGGGTATTTCACCGCAGGTGGAGGCTATGAGCGGGTCTAATGGAGTGGAACGGAGGGGCGACGGCGGCGGGGTATTCCTGCCGGCATACCACAGGCGGATACCTGCAGATGGGTTCCCACATTATGCCTCAGGCGTGTGGACACAGATCGTCATAAACAAAGATCTTGATTTGCCTTCCCAACAGGAGCTGTTGGCTCAGTATCGTTGTGACGAAATTGCGGCAACTTGCACTGCCGGGTTTAACGAGATTATGTCACCATTTGAAGAGCAAGCGAAGACTGGTAGGGTGCTGGAAGGACTCGGGAGTGCTATGAAAGAGGCTCTTGGCGAAGCAATGGGGGGGTTTGAGGAATCCGGAGGGAGATATCATAAGGGAGTCTTTGAGCGCAAGAGAGAAGACCTTCGAGAGAACTTGGAGGGAAGGTTACGAGGTCTTGTCGTTGGCCAATTTTCTGCTCTGTCAAAGAGGGCCGTGCAAGAATTCACGGAAGAGATTACGGGAATCTTGAAGTTGGCAAATGCTTCAGGACAGAGTACATCGTCGAACTATGATTTCGCTGCCGTGGTTAACCAGACAAGGTCCAAGGTTGTTGATAGGTTTATCACAGAGGCCTCTGAGTCGTATATTCCCGGAGCAGAATGGTCTAATTATGAAAACGAACTCGCCTCTCTACAAGCTGCGCTGGATGAAATTGCAGCAAGATTAAGGGGAGAGGAGATGAAGCGGCTTGTGGCTCGTCTTGAAAAGGCAATTCGATCCAAGCTCGCAGAACCAGTTGAGTTGGAGTTCAGGAAGATGGAAGATAGCTCAAAAGAGAAGGGTAACCTCTGGGACAGAGTTTGGAAAGTATGGACTGAGGCTGTTGGCGAAGGTGTTGAGGGCTTTCTTGCACGGGCTGGCGGTCTTAATGCTACTGAGAAAGAGCGAGATATAGGGGCATGGAAACTACGGAAGAAGGCTTGGGGGGTGCTTAAGGCCAAGATTGAAGAGGAAGTTATGGAGGGCAATATACTGCTCAAGCTGAGAGAGAAGTATGTCAATTTGATTTTCGTGATATTCTTGTACTTTTGCTAACCGTTAGCTAGCTTTGAGGACCGTTTCCGCTACGATGAGCAAGGCGTTCCTCGGGTATGGAAACCCACAGACCCTATCGAGCAGGCATACACTACTGCTCGTGAGGCAACACTCGGATTGATACCTTTGATTTCCCGTATCCGCCTCGCTTCAGGAGTGGAGCCACCATTGACCGAATTCCTCAGTGATCCGCCCTCCAACTTTGAGGAGGATGTTGATGATATGGGCGTCGCCAAAGACGAGTTTGTGGTGCTTGGTGAAGCTAAGCAGGTCGACTTGTCGACTAGGTTTAAAAGAATGGCAGATGCAGTTTTCGTTGAAGCTAAGAGGAGCACTGTTAGTTCGGTGGCACAGATTCCGATATATTTCTGGGGCCTCATGCTCGCCTTGGGGTGGAACGAGATCTGGGCTGGTTAGTATTTACAATCCGTAGCTCATGTGTGACGGGAGTCTAATATGGGAATGGTAGTGCTACGAAGTCCTGTCTATTTTATCTTTCTGCTCATGTGCTGCGCTGCGGCATATGTAGTCCATACCTTGAATCTCTGGGGACCAATCCTTCGGGTCACCAATGCTATGAGTCAGCAGGCCGTAGATATTGGAAAGGTATAAACAATCCATGCACGCACCTTTCTGTGGCGCAAAATGCTAATTCGTGTCTTAGGAACGCCTTCGTGATCTTGTCGCTGATCCAAACGTGGTTTATCCTGCAGGATTGAACGGGACCAGAGGCGTTGATGATGGTAGCGGCGCCATTAGTCTGCAGACGTTAGATGGCGAAGGAAGAAAACGAGCTAGAATCAAGCGGGAAGACGACGACGAGTAGGCCACTGGAGAGGTCCGGCGGGTGTTGGGGCATAATATTAGTGGGGCGAGGGCTGTGCTTGGAATGCGGGTATAACTTTCTCTCAACTTCTGTTTCCTGCCGTCCTCGTTCCTGCCCGGCCATTCTTGCGCTGTTCTAGGGTTTTCCTATTGTCTTTTATCACCACCACTCCCGGGATTGTCCGCACGCTGTGGTTGAGTGTATTGTGTCTCTTTTATTTTTGTTTCCTACACTATTGTATTTTAGCTATGGACCTTTATTTTTTCTTTTGGAAGGAGACTTCAAAAACGAGTAGATAGAGTTCGGGAGAACCGGCGGTGATGGACTAGGGGGGGTATTATAGACAGTTGTCGTATGAAGGGGTTTTTTTTTACTGGGATGAATTGGTGGATGGGAGAAGCACGATATCATAGAGTACCGGTATTGTACTCGGGTACTTGTAATAGTCTTTTTTGTTTTGTTTTGTTTTGGCTTTCTATCTTTTCTTTTCTTTTCTTTTCTTTTCTTGGTTCACTCCTTCATGGATGGTTCGTGCACGGGATCCGGGTGAGGAGAGCTGTTCAATCAAATTTATTTTCCTGGCACCGTACCACTGGTTGAATGGTGATAAAAGAGGGGGGAAGTTCTGGGGTATTGAGCAGCGAACCGTGGGATTGATGCAAGCACAGTGCTTGTAATACCGGTATTATAAACCTCCGATGTGCAATCCGGTGCGTGGACAGCGGATGGGTAGTAGTAATGGATAAATTTACGATAACCAATCAACTCAATTAACTAATCCATCAATCGAGGATTTGGATGTCTGCTCTCCTCCTTTTCCAGCTCAGCTTCCAAAGCGAAGTCCGTATCCTACCGTACTAGTACAATTGGTACTGCCGGTACAGCGCCACGGAGAAGCCTATATACTCCAGCGCGGTGCTTGTACTCGAGTACAGTACAGTACGAGGGGGGGGAAGAAAGTAATGCGACACCCGTGCAACACAAATTCCCGTACGGAAACAATATCAACAACATATAGTACTACCATTTTCCACAACCACATTCAATAAATAAAATAAGTAAAGGAGATAAAATTAAAAAATGCTTAGTATTTCCTTAAAGTAAAATAAAAAGAAAATCATAAATCAATAATGAGTTTGGTGCCCTTTTCTTCTAATAACCTCTCTGACCCTCTTTGGCATACTTCTGCAAAGATCCATAAACCTTCCATCAGGAATAGCTTTCCATGCTTCCTCCATAGCTCTGATTAGCTCTTCCTTGCTTGCAACTCTTCCATACCTTTTCCCCAAGTAAGTTTCCATATCTCCCCAAATATTTTCAATTAAGTTCAGGTCTGGTGACTGTGGTGGCCAGGGCAATATATCCACCCCATTCCTTTTTCTACACTTTGTAGAATATCTGTGATTAAACTAGTAGTTAGATTATATTCTTAAGTAAGTATTTCTATATCAAAAAACAGAAAATACAATAATTATAAGGAGGTAGAACCTACCCTTTATGCCCTGGTGTACCATCTTCAACAACTCTAGTCTAACCAAATCTCTCACAACACTCATGCCAGAAAGGAATTAAAACTGGATCCAGAATATACTTAGTATACTCATAAGAATCCACTTTAACCTTTCCTGGTACTACCACTAGCTTTGACCTCAAATTCCCACAAAAGGCTCCCCATACCATAACTCTCTCCCTTCCTGACTCCCAGACCTCATCAATGCAATCCTGATCATATTCCTCAGAAGGTTCTCTTATCACCCATCCTCTCTGCCCAAATCCAGCTGTAGAGAATGAGGTTTTATCAGTCCATATGATTCTAGACCAGTCTCTTAGTTTCTAAGCTCTTTTTCTCATACACCAATCAAATCTAATTGGTATATTTTTAGGGTGCAATCCCCATCTAAAATATCTTTTAGTTATGTAAACACTTGAATCTTCATTAAAGTACTTACTTCTTGCATGGTTTTCTTTTATTTAAATTAAGACTCTTAGATGCCTTTCTAATTGTCCTGGATGATGTCTTTAATTCCATCTCTTCTTTAATATCCTCCCAAGAGAGTCTTCTATTTCTTTTATTTTCTTTAATAAAAGACTTTAGATCAAGTAGATCAGACTCCTGGAAGATTGGAGGTCTTCCTGTTCGCTGGTAGTTGGAAGGACTACCTGTTTCCCGATACTGTTGATAGATGCGAGTACAGGTACTATGGTGAACTTTAAGGCCTATGTTTTCCTCCAATTCAGCAGCTATCTTTCTGAAAGACCACTCTGCTATTTCTTGGAGAGCAATAATACGGATCCGGTCATCACGCGTGGTTTCCCGCTTGAAGCACTGTCGCTTCTTCGTCAACGATCGCCGCCGCTCAAGATTTCCTGGACTAATCGCTAAAACATTTAATTTTATTATTATTTCAACTTTATGTACATATTCATTTAATTAAACTACTTATGCTCACTTCTGCGGGTTCCCTTTACCCTCATAGTGCTTTTCTGAAATGGTTTGGCAGGTGGTGGGGGATATAGTGAGTATTGTAGTGATGGGGGTTGGGAGTAGAGTTGCGATCTTGTGGGAAGCGGTTGCTACTGTGTCGCACTACTTCTTCCCCCCCCCTCGTACAGTAGAAACCAGAATAACTCCCCTCCCCCGCCGTACCATACTATACCGGAGAAATGCAAGTCTAGAGTCCATCTCCATATCCGCTGCTAGCAGCCCGCCGCCGCGCATTTGACGCTATACCAAATATTGACATCCTACTCTCCTCCACTCCACTCCGGACGCAGACGGATGGGTTGGTGATCTTCTGTCAGAGGTGTCGAATTGGTTCGGGGAGCTTTTTTGGGGAACAGGGTGCTAGGGTTTTTTTTCTTTTTTTTCTTTTTTCTTTTTTTGAGGCGAGGGAAGTATTGTATACTTTGGGGTTTTGGGTATGTGTTTGTGTGGTGCTTGTGTGAGGTATGATAGATGGGTGGGGTTGGAGTTGTTATGGTAGTGATTGTTCGTGATGTTTTTTGGTGTGCTAGGGTGGTCTGTTTGGTTGGGTATGTAAATACCTTACGTATCATACTTGAAATATGGAATCGGAATGCGCCGTCACGTTTCGCCACTTGGGTAATCGTTCGAATATCATAACTCGCCATACTACTGTAGCACCGTATGAGAGGAAGGAATATTCTCCAAAGCTATTGTACGTGTACAGTACTGTACCGTACAGCACTGCGCGGTGCTAATTCTAACCGGCTCCCAATAAACTATGACTTCTTCCCTTGGGCACGAGTGTCGTCGGAGCCATCAAGCATTTAACCTATTTGATCGGGGCGGCAACGGAGCGTACAGTACTCCTCTGCAACTATGATTTTTCTGTCTGGATGGTCATTTTTTGGAGTATTTTTTAGCTGGGTTGGTAGAGTAACTGGCAAGCCACATAACGAGAAATGGAAGGGGGATATGGCGGTTATAGTCTACTACCGGTACTATTCCAGCTTGGTGACCGTGAGATCTGCATGCGGTGAGGGAGGGGAGTGAGTATTATATGATAAACACCTGGATATCCTCCGTACTTAGGTTTCCTCCTTTGACCTATAAGTCTGTTCATTTCGGTGCACATTCGCAGTCTCCATTCTCTTTTTTCTCTATCTCATCCATCTCTTCATTCTTCCAAGAGCGGCGCTCTATCGCGATCCTTGGAATTACCCCCTCTGCCCCCCCAAGAGAAATAACCCCCTCTCCCTCCCTCTAACACTCCACCCAAGAACCAATTTAGAGTGTGCGAACCCCGCAGCCCTCCTATCGAGCACCCCGTCCCATGGCGTCAGGGTCTCCCGGCCCAACAATGGAAGAAGTTTGTAGGGGCATAATCTACGAAAGCAAGAAAGCGGATGTGGTCGGCCGGGAGAGCTGTTGTTACGGGTCACACCTAGCATCCTTGACCCCGAGGCTTGCAAACCACTTTCGTTGATAATGCGCAGTGCTTCGCATCGGGACGGAAGGTGGACATGTAGGTTCAAATTTTCGTCGTGGGTTTCATTTTTCCTTTCTAGAGAGGTATTGAGGTGGGTGGTCATTCATGAAGGGGGAGGTTAGCCGCACACCGGAGAGGCCAACCTCTCCATCCTAGATACGAAGTCGGATACTATTGGGGGATGGGGAATTGGTTGGCTGATGAGTGTGCCGGTGTTGGCACTGGCATTACCGAGGAAGATGGGACTGACCTTAGTTCTGCGTACCGTACTAACTTACTGGTGGTAAGTGTTCTAGACGGATTCGTTCCTATTCGGGTTACTGCCATGATGCTTCGTGGCTGGTTGGGAGTTGCAGGATTATAATGGGTGAACCAATGGTTCTGGTTAGTGTGGGGTTCGTTGTTAGTAGGTCGTTGGGGCCGGTCTTATTTTCTGTTGCTACTACCTCTATCATTACCGCCCCCCCGTCCCCAGCACCAACTATATATACTGCTGGCTCAATATCACCGACCGGTATCGGATTTCGTCAAATGCTGCCAGCTTATATTATGATATCAGATTTGATAATTCAAAACACATGACAACAATTTTTCTTCTTTTTCTTAAATAATATGCTGTCAGTTCCAGCTCCTTTCTAAATGTTTTCTTACCATATGTATGATATATCAGGTGTCAAAAAAAGATTACCTATGATACCAATAGGATTTTAAGCACCGATAATCAGGTTTCCCCAGATGTGATGAAAATTTTTTAATTTGTTGTGGAGGCCGGGTTTGACTTAGGGGTGCACTGTACAGTGCCTGATCCGCCAACTGCGGTGCATACAGGTGCTACATGGGCGAAATCAACAAATGTCTTGTGGTGGAGCGACTACCATTCCTGGGTCGAGTGTGAGGCTCACAGGTCTGCTGTCAGATTTTATATTTTCCTCGCCCTTTCCATTTCCTTTCTGCTAGCTTGGGAATTTTTTCCAGCACCGGAGGGGGGGGAAAGGCTCATATGATGGGAAGGCAGGGAGTTTATCTTTCCCCGTTTTACTCGACCCGGGAAAAAGGGAGGGATGTGAGCTTTAGCCTGGAGGGTGAAGAAAACCTGTATAATGTAGGATATGGTATTTTCGTAGGCTAGAGGGAATCCCAGGGTATCCTGACAGGGGTTCCTCCCCCATATTTTCCCCAGATATTGCTGCCCGTCGAATGTATGGTAACCGTGAACTGAGCCCTGTAGCGCTCATGATTGCTTCCACTTCTTTCGATGAATTATTTGTGATAATTGGGTGAGGGTGGGGCAGGAGATGAGAGGGGAAGTGAATGGGAGAGGGACGGAAAAATCAATACAGGGTCTTCTAGGAGACTCCAACTACTTAGTATCATAGCACGGGCTAGACAATTTTGTGTTATTATATACATAACAAGAACATAATGGTTGGGCTACGGAACGGTAGCGTTACCCAGTGATACCATTTTGTAGACGGCCGGAACAGTATCATACTATTATACTAGCATCCCCTCGATCTACGCTCGAGCGGGTTGTGAATGTTGAAAGTCTGAGGGAGAACAAGCAAAATCGTGTTGTATAGAAAATGCTACGGTGGTACATGTGATCACGGGATATCTGATCATCAGATC